TGCCTAGTCTATATATATAAAGCAAAGTGGTCGGGTGCCCGATAGGGCACTTCCCGGCGCCGCAGGCGCGTCAAATTTGGCACGAAGGTGCCTTATGGCGATAGAACACGAGGGCCGGTGACGGTTCGGCAAAAAGTCTACGGAGAGGGGGTCAAAACTGACCTCGACTGACCGGCGCCTTATATGGGCTATATTACGAAAAAAAATTCCTCCGACGACCCCCCTTGAAATTTTGTGAGGTGGTAGGAGAACACCTTGGGGTGTCACAAAAAACTCGGCATATCTGGGAAAACTTCGTAAAGGGGTCAAAACTGACCAGTTGTATTTCCCTATATAATCTTTGTATTTTATGGGAAAAACAGAGGGTCATTTCAACGCAGACTTTAGGGTACTTAAGCTCAGTATATCTGGCTAATTTTTTGCATGCTCCTAGGTCAATGGCTTGACCTTTAGGGAAAACTGTCGGTTACACTCAAAGCCCTCGACGAGGGCTAAAAAGTGACCGCGAGTGAAATTCTCTTTATATGAGCTCTATTACGAAAAAAAAATTCCTCCGACGACCCCCCTTGAAATTTTGTGAGGTGGTAGGAGAACACATTGGGGTGTCACAAAAAACTCGGCATATCTGGGAAAACTTCGTAAAGGGGTCAAAACTGACCAGTTGTATTTCCCTATATAATCTTTGTATTTTATGGGAAAAACAGAGGGTCATTTCAACGCAGACTTTAGGGTACTTAAGCTCAGTATATCTGGCTAATTTTTTGCATGCTCCTAGGTCAATGGCTTGACCTTTAGGGAAAACTGTCGGTTACACTCAAAGCCCTCGACGAGGGCTAAAAAGTGACCGCGAGTGAAATTCTCTTTATATGAGCTCTATTACGAAAAAAAAATTCCTCCGACGACCCCCCTTGAAATTTTGTGAGGTGGTAGGAGAACACATTGGGGTATCACAAAAAACTCGTCATATCTGGGAAAACTTCGTAAAGGGGTCAAAACTGACCAGTTGTATTTCCCTATATAATCTTTGTATTTTATGGGAAAAACAGAGGGTCATTTCAACGCAGACTTTAGGGTACTTAAGCTCAGTATATCTGGCTAATTTTTTGCATGCTCCTAGGTCAATGGCTTGACCTTTAGGGAAAACTGTCGGTTACACTCAAAGCCCTCGACGAGGGCTAAAAAGTGACCGCGAGTGAAATTCTCATTATATGAGCTCTATTACGAAAAAAAAATTCCTCCGACGACCCCCCTTGATATTTTGTGAGGTGGTAGAAGAACACCTTGGGGTGTCACAAAAAACTCGCCATGTCCGGGAAAAATCGGGAAATGGGTCAAAACTGACCAGTCGTATTTCCCTATATAATCTTTGTATTTTATGGGGAAAACAGAGGGTCATTTCAAAACGGATTTTATGGCACTTACGCTCTTTACATCTGGCTCAGTTTTGGCATGCTTATAGGTAAATATCTTGACCTTTAGGGAAATCTGTCGGTTACACTCAAAGCCCTCGACAAGGGCTAAAAAGTGACCGCGAGTGAAATTCTCTTTATATGAGCTCTATTACGAAAAAAAAATTCCTCCGACGACCCCCCTTGATATTTTGTGAGGTGGTAGGAGAACGCCTTGGGGTGTCACAAAAAACTCGCCATGTCCGGGAAAAATCGGGAAATGGGTCAAAACTGACCAGTCGTATTTCCCTATATAATCTTTGTATTTTATGGGGAAAACAGAGGGTCATTTCAAAACGGATTTTATGGCACTTACGCTCTTTACATCTGGCTCAGTTTTGGTATGCTTATAGGTAAATATCTTGACCTTTAGGGAAATCTGTCGGTTACACTCAAAGCCCTCGACGAGGGCTAAAAAGTGACCGCGAGTGAAATTCTCTTTATATGAGCTCTATTACGAAAAAAAAATTCCTCCGACGACCCCCCTTGATATTTTGTGAGGTGGTAGGAGAACGCCTTGGGGTGTCACAAAAAACTCGCCATGTCCGGGAAAAATCGGGAAATGGGTCAAAACTGACCAGTCGTATTTCCCTATATAATCTTTGTATTTTATGGGGAAAACAGAGGGTCATTTCAAAACGGATTTTATGGCACTTACCCTCTTTACATCTGGCTCAGTTTTGGCATGCTTATAGGTAAATGGCTTGAACTTTAGGGAAAACTGTCGGTTACACTCAAAGCACTCGACGAGGGCTAAAAAATGACCGCGAGTGAAATTCTCTTTATATGAGCTCTATTACGAAAAAAAAAATTCCGACGACGACCCCCCTTGAAAGTTTGTGAGGTGGTAGGAGAACACCTTGGGGTGTCACAAAAAACTCGGCATATCTGGGAAAACTTCGTAAAGGGGTCAAAACTGACCAGTTGTATTTCCCTATATAATCTTTGTATTTTATGGGAAAAACAGAGGGTCATTTCAACGCAGACTTTAGGATACTTAAGCTCAGTATATCTGGCTAATTTTTTGCATGCTCCTAGGTCAATGGCTTGACCTTTAGGGAAAACTGTCGGTTTGACTCAAAGCCCTCGACGAGGGCTAAAAAGTGACCGCGAGTGAAATTCTTTTTATATGAGCTCTATTACGAAAAAAAATTTCCTCCTACGACCCCCCTTGATATTTTGTGAGGTGGTAGAAGAACACCTAGGGGTGTCACAAAAAACTCGGCATATCTGGGAAAACTTCGTAAAGCGGTCAAAACTGACCAGTTGTATTTCCCTATATAATCTTTGTATTTTATGGGAAAAACAGAGGGTCATTTCAACGCAGACTTTAGGGTACTTAAACTCAGTATATCTGGCTAATTTTTTGCATGCTCCTAGGACAATGGCTTGACCTTTAGGGAAAACTGTCGGTTACACTCAAAGCCCTCGACGAGGGCTAAAAAGTGACCGCGAGTGAAATTCTCTTTATATGAGCTCTATTACGAAAAAAAATTTCCTCCTACGACCCCCCTTGATATTTTGTGAGGTGGTAGAAGAACACCTAGGGGTGTCACAAAAAACTCGGCATATCTGGGAAAACTTTGTAAAGCGGTCAAAACTGACCAGTTGTATTTCCCTATATAATCTTTGTATTTTATGGGAAAAACAGAGGGTCATTTCAACGCAGACTTTAGGGTACTTAAGCTCAGTATATCTGGCTAATTTTTTGCATACACTACTATAGATGACTAGGCCGTATGGAAAAACTGTTGGTCAGACTCAAAGCCCTCGACGAGGGCTAAAAGATGATCTTGAGTGAAATTCTCCTTATATGAGATATATATATAAATAAATTGACGAACGATCCCCTTAATATTATGTGACGTCGTAGACCGACCCTGGAGGCTAACAAAAAAAACTTTATTCCCGTCGGAAACAGCCATTATAGTTGTTAAATATGTTCATATACCGTAATTTCTTATATAAGCATAGCAACTGTTTGTAAAAAAAAAAAACAAAGACATACGTCATACGTTCAGTTTTCAAGGGAGGTAACGTTTTTTAAATTATTATTTTTCAAATAATTGTATACTATTTTAAACAGAAACAGAAACTGACGAAGTATAGCATTTGTTTTAGTAGAAAATTAAGTTGTTAATTTAGTTACGTATCCCAATTAAATAAATAAATAAATTTCAAAAGGCAATGTAATAAAAACTATGAGATGTACTGTTCATGGAAGCTGTGTAGTTCTAATTCCATTTTACTTATACATTGCGTACTTTCTGATATTTCTCTGCGAACGGTATTTAAATGACAAACTAAAACATTTTTTTTTCTAAAGTTAGCATTACTGTTTAAATTAAAGCACTCAACACCAAATCCATCGCTAAATAATTAAGTATTCAAATTCTCAAATGTTTTTTAAAAACCTAAGCGAAGCTAGGCAGTATGCCTAGTATATATATATAATACACGTATATAGAACGTGTTAAAAATTCGGCGCCTTTTTTTGCTCTTGTCGCTCCCCCTACAACGAAAACCTGGATACGCCTCTGTATACATGTATGGTCTGCGTGTGTATAAAGCATTACAGCTTTCCCGTCATGTACTCTCAAAGCTACACACAAAAATGATTCACATTTTGACGCCCTGAGTTTTGACAATCACAAGACATTTTGTAAAATTCAAAACTTCAAACTTTGCCGGCAACTAAGAAATGTATTTAAATAAAATACTTTGATACTTTAAAGAACAAGCCACAATCGGCACTTAAAATTTTATAATCTAAAAAAGTGGTTCTTAATCTCGGTTGAACCGAACCCCAGGGGTTCGGTGAGTCAGTCTCAGGGGTTCAGCGGTAGTCAAGACACACTTTGTCTTTGTGGTCGATGGAGCTATTAAGAAGGTTCCATAAATAAGCATTTTAAAAAATGATGGGGTTCGTTACCTCATTCTTCTTCTTCTTCGTTCTTATCTGCCAGAGGGTTTGAACTCGAGACTTTTTTCGAATTTATCAACCATGAGCTTTGCCGACTCGACCATGCTTCCATCACAATTAAGGATTACGTGTCAACTGGTTATGCGCTATTGAGGCCATTAACTCCGATTTCAGCCTGCTTTACTTTTTGGATTGCTTCCATAGCCTTTGTCCAACTAAGAACAAACTACAAGGCAGCGGTTGTTTGATTTTGGAGTTGTCTCTCCCGAAGGTTCGAACTCGACTACACCGACCCCTAATAAGCATTTGAAAATTTATAATCTAAAATAGTGGTTCTTAACCTCGGTTCGATCGAGCCCTGGGGGTTCGGTGAGTCAGTCTCAGGGGTTCAGCGGAAGTCAAGACAAACATTCGACTCATATGATTCACTATTTAATTTGGATCTATTAAGGTTCCATAAATATGCATATAAAAAATTATGTGGTTCGTTACCTACAAAAAGTTTAAGAACCACTGCTCTAAAGGAATAAACATTTACTACCAAAGCAATCAAAACTAATGAAAAACAACACAACGAAACGCATTTTTTTTTTGTATCTAGTTGACTATTTTATTACTGTAGAATTCACACAGGCTTTATTTACTAAACTCAAACAGTATCATTTATAAACGTTCTTGTACTGTCTTAATGGGAACTTGTTTTGTCAAAAAAAAAAAAAAAACAACAACAGCAGACTCTACTGACCAAACCTAAAGAGCCTCATTTATAAACGTTTTTAAACTGACTTAATAGGAACTTGTAAAAAAAAATGTAAAAGAATGATATATTAATATATAGTCCTCCGATACATTGCCGATACCAGTTTAGCAGACGAGATATTCTTTTAGGTATCATCCTTGGCATAATCAGCTTCCGAACAAATTTATACAGAGGAGAAATAACTAACACATTAAAAAAACATCACAAATATAATTAAAAACGTGTTTAAATGTAGCCGTTAGTTAAAAATTAAAAAATTAAAAAAATTATAGAACAGACATCACGCAACTGTATCTGATTCAAAATTCAAAGGAAGGGGGGGGGGGGGGGGAAATGACGTCGATTTTATCGTCTGGACTCACATTGATTTCTGTGGAGAAAAATTAAATCATGTGTAGTGACCCTATTTCTATGGATAAAAAAATAAAATGAATAATAAAGAGCTATTATTACTAAAGTAAGTACAGAAAATGTATGTTTAGTTTTTCTTAAAGTTTAAAAAGCTTGTTATAACATTGCTGTACATGTTGCGTTAACTGAAAACCCTAAAATCAAACTTTAAAAAAAAAAAGAACAACGAATCAACTAGCTGTGAGATTTGTAGTTGTTTCTATTTCTAGTAAAGTAACAGAGGCGTAGTGAGGGGGGGGGGGGGCATATGTACCCGGGCGCCGACCTTAGTGGGCGCCAAAATGGGTTGGAAAAATAAATTGAAAGGTTGAGGGGGGGGGGGGTTCAAATCGAAAGTTTGAGGGGGGGGGGGGGTGCAAATCTAAATCTTGAAGGGGGGGGGGGTGGTGCAAATCGAAAGTTTGTCCCCGGGCGCCGGGAAGGGTCGCTACGCCTCTGTAAAGTATCACTTTTTTACTATAGAACTATATCAATCATCCGGTCTGTTTTTTTTAAAATTTATTTGAAACTATCAATAAGGATTGAGCAAATTTTATACAACACTGGCATTTTGGATCTACCATCCCCCCCCCCCCCCCCCTAAATAGCACAATTTTATAAATTGATAAAAAAAAACAACTGACCCTCTTTATATAATCTTTAAAGATAATTTCATATCTTATTTTGTTTGCGCCCCGACTATTTCTTAACCAAAATAATTAATATATCGCTTCTCAAGAAGTAATCGATAAATTTATAGCAATATACACATCAATTTACTACAAGAAAATAAAAAGCGTGTTATTTCCATGCAGCTATTTCCCGGCAGAGTGAGGGGGTCAAACGGGATAGCGGGGGTCAGTCGTGCTGCTAAAGATAGAGGGGTCACTCGGGATACTAAAGGTAGTGGGGGTCAGTCGGGATACTAAAGATAGCGGGGGTCAATCGGGAAACTAAAAATAGATGTGGTCACTCGGGAAACTGATAAATAGTTGTGGTCAATACAAAACGAGAGGTAGTCTGGATGTTTATAATTGAGGGGCTCAGTTCAGAAGTTAGCCAGATTTAGCTTCATTTTTTTTACTTTCCTGGCCATTCAAACGAATGCCAAATAGGACAACGAGCAGTCCAAATAAACAACATATATATATATATATATATATTTATATATATATGTATATATATATATATATATATATATATATATATATATATATATATATATATATATATATATATATATATATATATATACATATACATATATATATATGTGTGTGTGTGTGTGTGTGTGTGTGTGTGTGTGTGTGTGTTTAAAGATGCAGGTTTACAAATTTCAATCCCGCTCCGGCTGTCATCTATTGATTGACAAGTCTGCACATGAGTGCCATGGCCTTGAGCCTTACCTTCACCTTGGTGGAACTTAAGAAGGCCAGCGCCAGGGAAGATTGCTCTGCCGGTCTCTCCTTGATCTGCTCGACTCTCCGGACATTGACCCCAAAGATGTCTTCGTGGTACCTGCTGCTATCCTGTGGTTGGGCAGAGTAGCTCATGTAAAGAGTACATTGACAGCGGACATTTTTTTTTTAACAGAGTAAAAAAAAAATTTTTTTTAACGAAAACTCTATAGAAAATAGATACAGCGTGGTCGAATGGTAGAGCGTTTGGCTGCTGGCTCGAAGGTCTCGAGTTCGGATCTAGGTTCAGATTTTGGGGTTGTACGACGTCTCTCCAACACTGATGCGCAGTTTCTCTAACGTGGGTTAGGTACCCATAAGTGCTGAGTGGACTCAGGGATGTTCTACTGACTCGAGACTTTTGGGTTAGCAGTCTAGATATAAGCCACGCCGTACTATCATATATTCAATGCAGTTTAAATATTTAGGATTCAAAGTCATTGTCAGATGACGTCTTGTGAAATCCGCATAACTCGCATAAAATGAATAGTGACTCTTTTAGAGCAATGTTTTAAAATAATAAAATATGTACTGGAAACTATACATTACCAGAAGATCTGAAGATACTATATACAACCAAAATATTTTATATGTACTGGAAACTAAATATTACCAGAAGATCATATGTGTACATGACACTAGACATTACCAGAAGATCATGTGTACATGAAACTAGACATAACCAGAAGATCATATGTGTACATGAAACTAGACATTACCAGAAGATCTTGTGTACATGAAACTAGACATTACCAGAATATCAATGTGTACATGAAACTAGACATTACCACAAGATCATATGTGTACATGAAACCAGACATTAACAGAAGATCATATGTGTACATGAAACTAGACATTACCAGAAGATCATATGTGTACATGAAACCAGACATTACCCGAAGATCATGTGTACATAAAACTAGACATTCCCAAAAGATCTAATGTGTACATGAAACTAGACATTACCAGAAGATCACGTGTACATGAAACTAGACATTACCAGAAGATCATGTGTACATGAAACTGGAAATTAACAGAAGATAATATGTGTACATGAAACTAGACATTACCAGAAGATCATATGTGTACATGAAACTAGACATTACCAAAAGATCATATATGTAACATGAAACTAGACATTACCAAAAGATCATATGTGTACATGAAACTAGACATTACCACAATATCATATGTGTACATGAAACTAGACATTACCAAAAGATCATATGTGTACATGAAACTAGACATTACAACAAGATCATATGTGTACATGAAACTAGACATTACCAGAAGATCATATGTGTACATGAAACTAGACATTACCAAAAGATCATATGTGTACATGAAACCAGACATGACCAGAAGATCATATGTGTACATGAAACTAGACATTAACAGAAGATCATATGTGTACATGAAACTAGACATAACCAGAAGATCATATATGTACATGAAACTAGACATTACCAGAAGATCATACGTGTACATGAAACTAGACATTACCAGAAGATCACATGTGTACATGAAACTAGACATTACCAGAAGATAATACGTGTACATGAAACTAGACATTACCAGAAGATCATATGTGTACATGAAACTAGACATTACCAGAAGATCACGTGTACATGAAACTAGACATTACCAGTAGATCATACGTGTACATGAAACTAGACATAACCAGAAGATCATATGTGTACATGAAACTAGACATTACCAGAAGATCATATGTGTACATGAAACTAGGACATTACCAGAAGATCATATGTGTACATGAAACCAGACATTACCAGAAGATCATACGTGTACATGAAACTAGACATTACATGAAGATCTTATGTCTACATGAAACTAGACATTACATGAGGATCTTATGTCTACATGAAACTAGACATTATCAGAAGATCATACGTGTACATGAAACTAGACATTACCAGAAGATCATATGTGTACATGAAACTAGACATTACCAGAAGATCATATGTGTACATGAAACTAGACATTACCAGAAGATCATATGTTTACATGAAACTAGACATTACCAGAAGACTTGCTATGTACTCGTTAGCCTCTTCTAGATTCATACCACCATGCTGTTGCAAGATGGTTGCCACTGTACAAGTGACGTCATGTGCCATCGTTATGTTTCCACAAACGTAAATATGGCCGTATTTTCTTGACAAGCGCGTCGTAGACCATTGAAGCTTTGCTTAGCAGCATATCTTGGACATAAACCTTAAGGAATGGAGGAGAAAGATTTAAGATAGTGTGATGTAAGCATAAACATAAAGGGGCAGTAGAGAAGCTTTGGTATGTTAGAATACAACATGAATTTTGTAGAGATGAAATGGATGAGGATTGGTAGAGAGGTAATGGATGAGGATTGGTAGAGATGTAATGGATGAGGATTGGTAGAGATGTAATGGACGAGGATTGGTAAAGATGTAATGGATGAGGATTGGTAGAGATGTAATAGATGAGGATTGGTAGAGATGTAATAGATGAGGATTGGTAGAGATGTAATGGATGAGGATTGGTAGAGATGTAATGGATGAGGATTGGTAGAGATGTAATGAATGAGGATTGGTAGAGATGTAATGGATGAGGATTGGTTAGAAATGTAATGGATGAGGATTTATAGAGATGTAATGGATGAGGATTGGTAAAGATGTAATGGATGAGGATTGGTTAGAGATGTAATGAATGAGGATTGGTAGAGATGTAATGAATGAGGATCGGTAGAGATGTAAATGGATGAGGATTGGTAACAGATGTAATGGATGAGGATTGGTAAAGATGTAATGAAAGAGGATTGGTAGAGATGTAATGAATGAGGATTGGTAGAGATGTAATGGACATGAGGATTGGTATGCGATGTAACTGGATGAGGATTGGTCAGCAGTATGAATGAGGATTGGTAGAGATGTCATGAATGAGGCCTTCGGTCCGAGCTGTAATGAATGAGGCTTGGTCGAGATGTAATGGAAGAGGATTTCTAGAGATGTATGAATATGGCCATAAAAATTAGCAGATATTCAATGATGAAGATTGATACATGTTCAGATTATGGCATAATGTTAAAGTTGACATCAGCGAAGCATGGTCTCTCTCCTATAGGGCTGGCAAGTAGGTCACCAACCAGTTCTGCGGCTCAATAAATCCTGCATGAGCCATAGAACTGGTTAATGACCTACTTACAAGCCCTATAATTGGAACAGCGGGTAAAATAAGGAGCAGACTGATTGTATTTGTGTTGTTACTAAGGTGAATCCTATCGCAGGGTTACTGTTACCTTCGGTACTCCTGGCTCTCTAGATAGTGCCAAAGAGTAGTCCATTACTCCAGCCAGTTTTCATTTCTTCCAGCTCTCGGCCATAGATGTTGTCTTTATCCGAAGCCCGGCACCCAAAGAACAGGGACATTGGACCGAACGCCTGGGTATCTTCGTCTACAGAAGATGGTCAAACAATGATACATGAGTCGTCGTTAGAATTTCTAATGATTGGAACACCTAACACCTTGATAATTTGATTCGGAAACGTAGTTTCGTATGGTTCTATCAACCGTTTTAAAGCAGTTCTTAATCCCGTTTTGGAAAGTACCGAGCCCCACCAGTTTCATATGCGCATACAATGAACCCTCCTTAAATGTGTACTGACAGAAACAATGGTGTTAGATCGGACCCAGGTTTAGAACCACTGATTTAAAGGATGATATATATATATATATACATATATATATATATCATACTATATATATATATATATTATATATTATATATATATATATATTATATATATATATATATATATATATATATATATATATATATGTATATATATATGTATATGTATATATATATATATATTATATATATATATATAATATAATATATATATATATATATATGATATATATATATGTTATTATATATATATATATATATATATTATATATATATATATATATATATATATATATATATATATGTATATATATATATATGTATATATATATATATATATATATAATATATATATGTATTATATGTATATATATATATGTATATATATATATATATATATATATATATATATATATATATATATTTATATATATATATATATATATATATATATATATATATATATATATTAGAGAGAGAGAGAGAAAGAGAATTGTATTTGTATTACGACTTACGTAGCTCAATATCTATCTTCCGTTGCTGCCAGAATGATCTGAAAGGAGCGATTCCCGTGCCGGCACCCACCATGATGATAGGCAGAGCACGATTTGCGGGCATGTGAAATGAAAAGGCTCTGCAAATACAAGTCGGTGTCGCTAAACTTTAAAGGAACATGTGGATAGGCAGAGCACGATTTGCGGGCATGTGAAATGAAAAGGCTCTGCAAATAAAAGTCGGTGTCGCTAAACTTTAAAGATACATGTGGAGGGGGGGGGGGGGGCAGTATGCGCATGGTGCCTAACCCGAATGTTCTGTGTAACAGTTTGTAAGAGATCACTGAATATACCCAGCTGTTGTAAGTACAGAGCCAGGTGTTCATTGAGTCACGATGGACTGGCTCAGAGTATAAAAGTTCTGTGACAGGTGATCTGCTGTTGTTTCTAGGGTAGAGCTGCGCCATATACTAAAGGTGTTGTATTCATGCTGTTAAAGCAAGCGGAACTGGCTCTAATTAAAGCAGGGGTCACGGTCACTGATTATTACAGCTTAAATTTAGAACTTTTAACTATGCACATCTACAAAACGTAAAATAGAATTTCATTGGTTAAAGGCAACCAACTCACGTTCTAATAAAACAAGGTACTCTGACGCCGATTGGACATCTGTTCATCCAACCAGAACACACGCCCTCATGGACTGGCCCAGCGCCATCTTGGAAAAGAATTAATTGTTTGTGAAAAATATTGTATACGCCATTTATTGAATCCCAATGTAAATGCAACACAAAAAAATCTTTTAGTGAAAAAAATATAATTTTCCTTGTAATTAAGAAAGAAAAGAGCACAGTATGATTTTTATCAAAATTTTTGGCCCCCACAAATCCACTCCTAAATTGATGCAAAAACTTAGCCGTGCTCAAGTTAGAATGACCTTACTTTGTGTTCTGTCCAAGTGAGAATGACCTTACTTTGTGTTCTGTCCAAGTGAGAATGACCTTACTTTGTTTTTTTGATTAAGTGAGAATGACCTTAGTTTGTGTTTTGATCAAGTGAGAATGACCTTACTTTGTGTTCTGTCCAAGTGAGAATGACCTTACTTTGTGTTCTGTCCAAGTGAGAATGACCTTACTTTGTGTTTTGATTAAGTGAGAATGACCTTACTTTGTGTTTTGATTAAGTGAGAATGACCTTAGTTTGTGTTTTGATCAAGTGAGAAAGACCTTACTTTGTGTTTTGATTAAGTGAAAATGACCTTACTTTGCGTTCTGTCCAAGTGCGAATTATCTTAGTGTCCTGCTTAAGTCAGAATGACCTTAGTGTTCTTACCAAGTGAGAAT